TATTCAACCTTCTTACCATATTGGTATGTTCATACCATCATGGTACGCTTTCTTACCATATGGTATTAAATATGAGCATACCATATGGTAATGACTGGTAAAAAATTATTCGATTTTTTTGTACTAAAAATATATCAAAGTGAATATCATATTAAAGAGCACATTTAATATGATTTATCTGTGTAAAAAAATTTAAATTTCGACTTAAAACGAGAGAGAAATCGTCCGTTAAAAATTAAAGAGGAAAAGATAAAAGACTTTCCAGGAGAGAGGATATGCTGATGTCATGCGAATGTGGACAGATTACTGATGATTACTCACCATAAAATTTACTAACCTTCGCTCACTCGTGACCACGTAATTCAGCATACAAGTGCAAATGCCTGGTAGATCCCTTAGATCAACAAGAAAATTCTGTTTTATTATACAAAAAATTTGGAGAAGGTAAAACTAGTTGGTTTCTTGTTTTTGTTTCCACCTCTTTTTATATTCCAACGTAAGCTGTATTGAGTACAACCTTTTCATTGTCTCACCTTTACATGCTAGCTCGAATTGACGTAGTTGATCTTTTTTGTACCCATACGAACGTGTTTCATGGTACCGGTCGAAAGTGATTCCCCTGAGGATTGGAGGAGCTAACTAAGAACATGCTTATCCAAAATAGATATTTTGTTGATTGGATTTTGGAAACAAACACTGCTGGCTGGCTGGACGACTTCCAACTTTGGACTAGAACTGAGGGATAAAAAAGAGTTCATAGATATTGCCAATTGTCAATTCTCAATTTGATTCCCAGTTAAGTATTAACCATAAGAAAATATTAAAGAAATGTGACAGAACCTAGGATACATATGCAAGGTTTGTCTTCGGGGTACATTTTGCGAAATAAACTCTTCATGGTGCCATCAAACTTAGGAATGATAGGTTGAGAAAGAATTTCATGCTCAATTAAGTTTTAATCGCCATTATCTATAAAAAAAAGAGGTTCATGAATGATAGGCTAGGGTGATCGAAAGAATTCCATGCTTAATTAAGTCATTTTAACATATAACGTATGCATAAATTTTAAATAGTGGACAGATAAAGGGGTAATTTAAGAAAATTTATCCCAATGGTAATGGTAAATGTTACTTGTAATCAACCATAGGTACTAGGTATCTGAATCTGGCAGCTGTTGTTGCTTGTCTTTTACGAAAGTTTGTCTGTCGTCATTGACCATGGGTGACCATCAGAGGCAGAGCCAGGATTTAGCGTTCGGGAGGGTCGAAGATTTTTTACTATGTTACTGCAAAATGTATTAAAATTAATCAAAATAATTAAAAAATACATTTTAGAATATTATGATAACTAAAAAATGAGCAAATTCACTCAAAAGAAGATATATCTAAAAAATTTAAGCATGATTAATTCAGTATAAAATTATAAAAGAAATAAACAAATTAATAAAACATTTCAATGTTGTGTAGACCAACCAATTTTTTATTATTAAAAAATGAATGTCAATTATATGAGTATTTTAAAAACAAATTGTACATTATCGGTCCAAAAATATTCTAAATTTTTTGTAGGTTGAAGAATTAATTAATCTAGTTTAATGAACTTGAGAAAAACAAAATATGCAAGTTGAACTTAATTGATCGATCTAGTTTAAAATTAAATAAAATAAAATTTAATATACAAATGAGAAGTGACTAATTATCCAACCACATTAAAATTGTAAACTAGAAATTAGTTAGAGGAATTTAAGAAACCTATTACCAGAAACATCCAACCTGTAGGCATGGGCGGAGCCAGGCTTTTGAGACCGGGGTCCAAAAATAATTAAAAAAATGTATGTAGCTAAGGTGGATCAAATTCATGTGCTTTAAAATACAAATAAGGCTTGACTACCATTAGATCACATTACTATTACAAAACAAAATTAACGGAACAAGTTCTACTTATAAAATTTGTACTAAATATCCTTACGATACTAAGAGCCGGAACTAATTCCAGGGGGCCGGAGCCCAGGCCCACCCTAGCTGGAGTGTAGCTCCACCCCTGCCTGTAGGTAAAATAGCTGCTGCCGATCCACTAGACTACACTAATAAATTTGTTATGTTTCTGCCCAATATATTATTAATAGTTTCATCTTCGTTTATACGAAATTTCGGAAATGCCCATCAAATTTACATGTAACTGTCAAAATTCTGGGGCCCTGGTGATCATTAATTATACTGGCTTATAACTCGGCTCGTTCGTCGAAATGTTTATATTTGATTATTTATATTTTATGATACGGTTAAGTCAATCAACCCGTTTAATTTTATTGACAATTCTTCGATTGAGATGATACATAAAGAAAAAAATATATAGGTCGAACATTCGGAGAAATACAGTCATCATTTAAGAATATAAAATATAAAATGTATCATTAATCCCATTTTCATAATGATAATTAAACCCCGTTAAAATGCTATTAGTTAGTTGGTTGTCAAGAAAGAGAGTATAAAAGCTTAGTGAAATTTCATACGACCCATAGATAGTTTGAAACTAAATCTTAAACTTAACAATCCTACATAAGGGTTCAATGCGCTCCTTTTAGGAACAATGTGTCACTAATCAAAAAGAAATGGAGAGTTGTTGATTCAAGTCAACTATATACTAACAATTCAGCTAATAGGTGATCATCAAAACTTGAGAGCAGTGCAGTCAAAATCGCGCATTAAAACGTAAAAATTACGTTTTTACGTATCCAGGCCACCAAAACGTTTCAATTTCTACCTAAAGTGGCTTAGTCACAAAAATTGGTTAAAACATGGGTTAAATCAGTAAAATCGTTTAAAATTGGTAAAATCGCGATTCTGAAGCGTTTTTATACGATTTTGATCATCACATAAAAATGTGCTAATTGGCCCAAAATGATGTAATTTTGGAGACATATAAGCAAAAAATAAAAAAAAAAGGAAAACATGATTCATCACTCGTTCTACAACTAGTGTCTAGATAGGGGCTTCACATTAGGTTGAAAAGACACATAATGGTATTCTCAACAGTCGCTCACCTTCTATCAATCTTCTCCCTTAATCTTCACATGTGGCTCTTACCTAGGTTACGATAAAAGTTTATGGGTAATTGATCATATGTAATTATGTAAACTCAAACCAGCTTATGAGAATTTGGATTCTCAAGCTCGTTTACGGGTTACGATCTACGTTTATGAGCTTATTATTAAGATGTTATGAGTTTTCTCTACTTTTAAGTCAACACAAATTAGTTTATGTGTTAGATATTACATTTTAATTATGAATTTCATGTAGTTATTCACTTATCTAAAATCTACACACTCACATTTTACATACTATATGTTATACTTAACATATTTTAGCTATTTTAGAGGGTGCGTAAAAAACTTACGCTTTGATTCTACGTTTTATGATTTTACCCATTTTCCGCTTCTAGGTAGAATCGCGCTTTTAACTGCATTTCTTGAGAGCAAACGACAAAATTAAAATTACCTCCAACATAATAATAGACTCAATCAAAGTAATACGACACAAAATTAGACACTCATTATCTATCAGTTCCAGTAGGTTGAATAAAGAATCGACCTACTTCAGTAAATCAATCAATGATTCCTCGTTTTAAGATAGAAATAGGTTGTGATAGATGCAAACCATAAACATAAAGATCTAATGGCCACCACTCTCCGTAGTACAACCAAATTTTTTTTTTATCTCAAGAGACATATGTTTCAACCAAAAATTCAATTTATAATCCTTCTGCAACTCCATTATTTTTTACTCTTTTACTTTCCTAACTTAAATCCCCAAAAACAAAATCGTCGTACCAGGAGATATCGGATGATTGATTTTCAAAGGCGGCCTTCTACTGGGAAGTGAAGGGGGGGGGGGGCAAACTATTGCATGATGGAGGGAATTTCCGAGGAAGTTAGAAAGAGATAAAAACACAGATAAAAAACAAAAAAAATTAAATTGAAAAATGCAATGACACAACACGTAATAAAAAAAATTAGTATTTTCCATGTTAGCCAATTACCAATTTACCTTTTGCGAAAATTCGGGAGAGAGAGAGAATTTTAAAATTGAGAAAATTACATGAAACTCTACTATGAAAATTGAAGTATCAAGCACCACAAAATACATATGGTAGACTTAGTGAGCTTGCTAATCATGATGGAGAAGTAGTCTGATTTTCAGAGAGTTGAACTTCGTGTATGTTTTGTGTTCCAAAAGATATAACAAATTTGTTTAGTGTAAATGGTTGTGATTGTTGTCTTTATTTGAAGAGATCCGAGTTCAAATCCTGATATTGATATATTTTAGGTGAGCTAAATAATTAATTTTAAAAACAAAAATGTCTGTTCTACTTTCACTCTTATTGCAGGTAATTTGAAAGGGAGAAAAATACACAAAACTCTACCATATATTATTGGAGGATAACACCGTTGCCACCATCTTTACTTCTTCAGTTCATAATCGTTGCCGCTTGATATGGATATGTGTATTTATGTTACGTATTTTTTTGACTGACTTGTTGTATTTATGTTACGTATTCGATAGTTGTTTATATGATTTTTTACGAGTAGTTTACTAAGTATGATTTTTGTTGGCATGGAATCTCTAGTTATTGGAATAAATTTCCAATATTGCCGGATAAATTTTTTAACTAGTGGTTTGTTTGACAACAAGGTAATCTGGCCCTCTGATTCTAGGAATACATTATATCTTACATTTCATTCTTTTTCTTTTCATTTTGGATCAAATACCATAATTTTGGTACACTATGTAATTTGATAATTCTACCATGATATCTCCAAGCCCAAATGAGTGCACTCGGGCCGTCGGGCGAAACAGATGGGCTATGTTAAGTCCAGATAATTCTGCTGAAGGCCCAACATCATCCTCCAAGCCCAACGAGCGAAAATGCAGTTATTAGGAGGATAATTTAGTGAAATTCTCAATAAAGGCGCCAATTTTAAAATAAAACCCCCCCGTTAATTTTCGTCGTCCACCCGTTTCTCTTTCCCTTGAAAATCCCCCAACACCACGCAAATCTTCGAATAAATCACTCGCTCAAATCCTCAAACACACATTCCTCTTCAGGTTTCCGTACCTGAAAATTGAAAGCTCGCAACGAAGCAGCAATCTTGACATTGTCCTTCCCCATTCAGGTAGAAACCTGCAAGAAAATGCTGCTCCGTCGTGCTCTTTCTTCAACTCTCTCTGGGAGTTGTTCTGTTCCCAACTTTCATTCCCCTTGGAGTTGGAATTCGGGTCCGCTATCGTTTCCTGTTTCATGCAAATGTGAGTGTGTAATCTGGTTTTCGATCCCAGTTTAGTGTATTGTCTACCAGGTGTTCGATGAATTACCTCAATTGGGTTTTCTTTGTATGTGGTGATTTTCCTGTGTGGAATGGGCATTGCAGTTTCGCTGCTGGATGGTGCTACGAAAGTGAGATTGAACAGTGTGTCGTCTCGGAAAATTAGAATGGTTTCAGCATCTAATAGTGCTGGAAATTCAAGCTTCAGTGTAGAGAACACGAGGTTGGTACTTCTGACCACGAATCATTATCCTCTACACTTGGTGATGGTAATTGTACTCGGATATTACTCCTTTGTTGTTGTCTTTCCGGTGTCATGAACTTTCAAGTTGATCTAGGGTTTCTGCTCAAAGGAATATTTGCTTAATACTTTCCGAAGGCCAAAGGCTTTTGTTGAAATTGTAGTCGATGTGCAATGAGAAAGATGTTCAATGCTCACTATTGTTTAAATGTAGCTTATGCAGTTTTTTTGTTGTCATCTCTGTTGAGCAGAAAAGTAGTGGAGCATCTATGCCTACTCAAAGCAAAGAAAGATTTAACCGAGGCTGATGAGAAGGATATGTTGGATTATCTGTATACTTGCCAATATCAAATGCGTGGAATTGTTGCCATCTCTGTGGGTAAGTCCTTTTCAGTTTTCACCCATTCATACTTCACCCCCTAGGCCTCAGCTACAATTGTTTTCTCTGTTCCTGAACCCTGAGACAAAAACCATATTTTTTCCCCCTATAAGTCTAGTTAATGCTCATATAGCGACGTTTGGGTCTTGTTTCTTCCCTTCAAGTCATGTAGATGTCTTGTTTTGGCTTATGTAGGACGCATCTCCAATGAAAATGTAGAAAACTATACCCATGCTGTTTTCATGCGTTTCCAAAGAAAGGAAGATGTTGCCAAGTTCTATGAGAACCCATTCTATTTGGGAATTCTCAAGGAGCATGTAACGCCTCATTGCAATGTATGCCCTGAGAATGTCAACACACCCCACTAAATTGCTCTACGCCCCAAGTTTTCATTAACAAATTTATTTTTACTCGTGCCCTTGCATTATGTGGTGCTTATCTTAATCAAAAGTGGCTGTCTATTTTGCAGGAAAAGCTTTACATAGATTATGAGTCTGAAGTTGAAGATGATATCATTCCTATATTTCGTAAAGGGGAGGTAGGAAACCCCACTTGCTCTGTGCATGCATTCCATCTTCTTTGTCTATGTTCTCTCCCAAGCACTCGGTGCATTCCTTTTCTTCATGTTATGGTATGATTATGCTACTCCATTCTCAAAAATATTTTTTGTTTGGCAGGAGTATAACTATGGTTTAGAGTTTGTTCATCTTATTGCATTTTATGAGAGTTCATTTGGTGCCCCTGTGGAAGATGCATTGGCATCTCTTGCTCGGCTGACCAAAGAATTCCCATCGTTAATTGTCCAATCCACTCATGGTATGACTGAAAGTTGAAATTCTTATTATCACCTACTAGCTAGAGTATATGCTTTGAACATCTGTCGCGTTTTTTATAACCTTCTACTTTGTCTGTTATGCAGGTTCAAATTTCCATCCCAGCAGTAAGGACTATACACATGCAGTAGTCATAAGGTTCCGATCATGTAGGAAATCTTTCACATTCGTTCATATATATTCAGTTAATTCCAACGTCCAATCTCTTGATCGGTTTTGTTGCTCGGTGTGTCTTGCAGCTGAGGCATTTGAGTTATTCATGGGAAGCAAGGAATACAATGCTGTAAGTAGCTTTTTTTTGCTTCCCTATCAACCCCTAACTTGACTTCATGATGACTACTCTTTCTTCCAATTTCATACTGGCCAACTATCATCAATACTATGGAACTTCCAAACATCATTTGGAAAAGTAGGTCTGGAGATCGAAATTCGAGACGATAATCAAAAGATCACTTCCCGTCCATTTCTCTGTTGACCCGGTGGGAGAAGAGGTTATGTAGTGATGGTCAATCTTTGCGATTGTATGTACTATTACCGCATCCTTCATCCTCTGGAGCCCAGGCATCAAGCAATGGGATTATAACGCCACTAATTCATAGAGGTAAACAAAGTTAAGTACAAGCCATCAGGCTAATCTGCCATTGAATGGAGAAAAGTTGGTCTCAAATCTCTGCAAGAGTTTTTCTGATGTTCATGGATGGTAGCTGCAGCCTGCAGGGATTTTCAAGGCCTCCTTGAGAGGTCCATTGTGAGAGTTGCATCACGCTAGAGCATTCCAGGCACATATGGCAGTTCCCTTTCTTTGTCGTGCACAGTTCTATTTTCTGTAAAACTTCTTTTCTACTGTCATGGGGAAATTACTACCAAACGCTTTGATTTCAATTAGCCTCAGTTCTTAAATATGTTTGGTGAATATTCGGATGTACATTCAAGACGCCAATCATGAAATGGATCCAGATCAGTCACGCTAGTTCTACTGCTACTGCTGCTCTCTTCATTATATCCTGGTGGTTTATTTGCTTATCCTAACAATACTATAAGGAGATTCTTGGCCGGAACCCCCTTAATCTCTTTTTTCTTGTGCTCTGCGCAATACAAGGAGGGAGATTTTTGTAAAATAATCTGTGGGACTGAACTGGGCCAACCGGCCAGGCCCATTCTTCTTTTCCTTCTAGGATTTCCAACAAAGTGGCGGAACTGTGCATTTAAGTCCGCAACTCCTTCTAGCCAATATATAGTGGGAGGATCATATTGTTATGATTGAGGTATTTTTCCGTCCAAGCTAGCAAGGTGGAACTTTAATTATTCTTTGCTTTAATTTACCAGTAGTAGTGTATATATACTATATAAACAATGAATAAGATTTAAGTAATTAATTTAGGTTTTCATGTTTATGTTATACCCACACCATCATAAACTACTTTGTTTATATTCATTTTCACGGTTTGGACTAAGGTATGAACTAGAATTATTTTGCTTATATAAATCATTTAACGTAATTAATTTAGTTTTTCATGTTAATGTTAGAACTGTGCTATCATCAACTATTTTGATTATATTATTTAGAATAATATTTTTGTCGACTAATCTTTTAGTTCTATGGCTCGAATACAAATTTATTATGGAGAATCATCCAAACAATCAAATAATGATTCAATTCAACCGTTAAAACAAATGTAAGCACAAATATTTTTAGGATAATGACTATTTATTAGCCAAACCTATTGAATTACTAATAATTAGCCAAATGTTAACTTCAGTTAGAAATTTTGTTAGCAATATTGACTTGGCGACATGATACTTACTTGGAAAAGACACATGGAGGTCAACATTCCAAAAAAAATGTATTTTAACTAAGAAAAGAGTTACAAATTTATTAACAGGAACGTAAAAATGGATAATATTTTGATGTATTACAAAAATATTGGCCCATTATTAGTAATTCATTATGTTTGGCTAATTAAAAAGAATGCGAGAAAAGTTTGGCTAATAATTAGTGTTTACTCAATTTTATTTTATTCATTGATGAGGTGGCAGCTGAGTTGGACAATGAGGTGGAGCACCGTTAAGAAATAGTTAACGGTAACAGATTAATGGCTATTACTTTGATGTGTTATAAAACATTTGGATAATTCTTAGTATTTTAAAAGATTTGGCTAATAAAAAAGAATAGTATTCCAATATTTTTATTAGCCTGTTATATATATCTTGCAATTCATTATGTATCCATGCCATGTGTTATTTAGGAAAAAGAAGACCTTTTTTTATGCCACCAAAAGGTGTGGTGGATACAGACCAGTCCCTATCTGAAGTACAAAATAAGATCTCTGATGATATGAACGTCAACGAATTATAAATTATCTAACTATTTCACACTGCTTGATCTTAGAAAATTATCACTCTCCATTTTACATTTTCAGAAATTGATGCATATTGGTCAAAATTGAGGAGAATTGATGCATATATAAGGCCAACGCTTATATATGAAAAAATTGTCAACATTCCCACTGATAATCCTTGGTATTTCGCATGTTTGTTTTTTATTTATATGGTTTTTGATTTATACGTTATCAAATTATGTGTTGACTGCCAGAATTGCTAATTTTGTTGATTCCTATACATGACTTCAAAATGAGACGAATAACTTACAAACTAAGAGAAATAGATTGTTGAGATCCATCAAACTTGCCAAAAATCGTTGTAATCGTCTTTGGGTGATGCAATTTGGAGACTTTCCAAGTTTATGGATATTTTAAGCATTTTATTTTCCTTCATTTATTATAATGTTGGAATTTTCATATAATGTATTTCCAATATTGGAGTTTTAATTTTATTGAAGTTGTTGACGTGTTTGATTTTGGAACTCTACCATATAAATGTGAATATTGTGGGGAAATGATGTGGAAGGGAGAAAGTACCAAACCAATGAGGAATTCCAATGAACCAAAGTTTTCATTGTGTTGTAGACAAGGCAAAGTGAACCTCCCTTTTCGAAGGCAGCGTCCAGATGTTTTGAATATGCTATTACAAACAAACACTTCAACGAGGCGTCACTTTTTGGAATCTTTGCATTAACTTCTATCAGAGGTAAACTGGATGGATCTATAAATTATGAAAATTATTCGGTGTAGTTTCTCAATATATTGAAGAGTAGTAAGTTCCTAGACAATCCTATCAGATTGAAAGTTGGATGTCCTATCATTTTATTTGAGAAATATGGATCGAAGTATAGGTCTCTGCAATGACACAAGGATGATAATCAAGAGACTAGGCACATGCGTTATTGAAGTGGAGATTCTAACCGGTTCTCATATTGGTGATTGGGTCTTTCTACCTCAGATTAAATTGTCTTCTCATTATTAAAGTCGGGATTTCACATTGGTTAGGAGATAGTATCCTACTGCAGTTTGCTTAGCTATGACCATTAACAAAAGTCATGGACAAACTTTGAAACACGTCGGTCTCTGCTAGAAAAAGCAAGTATTCCTTCACGACTAGCTTTATGTTGCATTATCACGAGTTACAACACATAAAGAATGAAGATATTAAGTTGTGATTCAGAAGGTGAAGAATCGAAGACCATGCAAAATATTGTGTTCGTGGAAAAATTTGAATAATATTTCACAACTTCTGTACAAATAACTTTCCGGAAGACAAATAGTATGTATGGTGTTAGAATTCATTTACTTTTGGAAGGACTCAAATTTGTTTTTATTTGTCAAGAATCAGTTTGTCCAAATACCTCGAGTTGTTGGGGATGTTCAATTATGGATCATAAATCATTTACTAACACATCCTCTCAAAGACCCTCATATAAATCATACCCAAGTAGAATATAATAGTAATATCCGTACGCTACCCAAGTCTATCCCAACAAATTAGAAAATTTTCATTTTCTGAAAATACAAAGAAATTTTTCTAACAATTAATAACGAAAATTTTCATGTAGGTATAGTATAACAAGGACTATAAGGAAATTATCCTCCATCACTCAACTCATTTTCTTTTTCATCATTCACTATCATAGTATGGAAGATCTTTTTGATCTTAAGTGACACAATTATCAAGATTGGACAGGATGAGGAAGAGTAAAACACCGATCTTTCTGATTTGATCGAGGTAAATTGTATATGAATCAAAATGGTGATCAATGTTAACTACAAATTTGTGTTATTCTTTATTGGGTTTGGATTTTTATACCATCACAGGTCATACTTAGTTATATTATTTAATCTAATAGATAACTTACAATGCCCGGATGAAGGGAGCTGATGTTTTAATTAACAAAATTGGTTTGGATAAATTATATTCAAATAAATCAAACTCCAGTTCAAAGTTGAAAAACACTCTTTTATTTCTTTCACGGCCTGTATGTAAATATAGTGGATTTATTATTTCTAATATTGGAATTCCAGGGAACTTTGCTTTCTTTCAACTAACTTGCAATTAATTATACTTAATTACAAATTTATCTACAACATATGTTGACCACTTATGCTTTGATAAATTCACCATATATGTTGTACTTTTCAATGTCAATGATCTAAATTCATAATGCTGATTCAGGAGAACAAGAATGACACTACTAGCGGTGGAGGTAATGGATCCGTTGCTAGAGATGATGATATTGACATGAAAAAAAGACATTGTTCATGAGGAAGGTATAAAGACTGACGATGGAGAGAACTAACAAAATCTAAATAATATTTGTAAATTGGACGAAGTAAATTTTATTCCAATGTAAAAGATGATTTCTATTTGTAAATATATTTTACCATAAATTTTTGTGCTCAATGAAAGGGAGGGAACAAGGAAGAGATAACTGAAATGCAAGAGAAGAAAGAAAAATCAATTGATATTAAAGATAAATGTGTCAATAATAGAGATGAAGACATTCTTATGGTCACAATGAGACTACTGTTCATGCCAGAGCAAATGCAAACAAGTTAAAAGGAAACGTGAAGTAATCTCTTACGATGAGGAGTAATCAGAAGGGTCATTTTAATGGGTCTTTAGGAGTCATTACCTTGCATGGGTTTTTCTTTCATTTTTTGTAAAATGATTTTAGTTGATTAGTCATTAAAATGTCTGAAGACAATATGATAGTCCTTTTGAATTGTTCAATGATTTTGATCTCTTATTCTCCCAATCAATTCGAATGTTTAGTGTATTGGAAGAAATTAAATTATCTTATACTAATGCGTATCTCGAATACGAATTTCTATTTTTATTAACGTGATTAATAATCGAATCCGGCCAACTGGCCGGGCCCGTGACTAGTATACAATTACATTACTTGTTTCCTCCATTAGACCATGCTGATAATGAAGTCATAAATGACCGACTTCTCTAATTGCTTTCTGGAAAGGGAAATGGACGACCATAGGATTCTTAAAGATTAATCCCCCCTAATCTCTTGTAATGCCTCCATCTTGTTCACATTTGTCTTTGTTTCTCTTGCTAGTTGCAACTTCGATAAACTTCCTCATTTCTCCATGTGAATAAGAGTGAATGATAGATTTTCGATGTAGTTTTAGTATATACACCTGGTAGCCTAATGAGGTGCTATATTTGTAGGCACATTTACACAACCCTTAACATGTTGAACTATTATGATCTACAAGAATTGATCAATTTTTACCTTTAAAAAGGTATTAGCCTACAACATGTTCGAGTGGAATGACATTTTCTATCACACATTTTATTATTTTATCATTTCTACCTTGTTTCTTTTCACCTTTTCTTTCATTTTTTCCACTTCAAGGGGAAAAGATGGGTGTTTTGTCTCTCAATTTTTCCACCTTCAAGGGGAAAAATAGTATTTGGACATGAAATTAACATGTTGAACTATTATGATCTACAAGAATTAATCAATTTTTACCTTTAAAAAGGTATTAGCGAAAAACTTGACTTTTTCATCTATGTCATTTGTTTGCCAAATTTTTGAATACTCTAAGCGGAAAAATTG